ACCCTGGATGGTAATCAATACCAAACCTAACTGTGAATAGGACCACCCAAGGGCACATGGCTAGGAACCAAACCTTCTTCCTACCTTGGTCTGATCTCTTGGCAAGTTTCCTTGTTAGTCCCAGCTTTGTTCCCACTTACTTGGGGAGGAATCCAAAAACAGGAGTTAAAGGGGGAGGGACAGAAAGAATGATTGGAAAGCCACTCTCAGATGCTGCAGAGGTCGTGAGGAAGAGGGTTCTGGTTAGTTACATTATCCAGGGCTTCAAACTAATAAATATCGATTGATGGATGGAAGTCAAAGCTAAAGCCAAGGGAAGGCCTACACGTGTTCAGAGATTTTGAGTTAGAAATGCTCTCCTTCCAACTCTGCCCCAAAGGAAGTCACTTGGGGAAACCGAAGTAGTGATTAAGGAACTACAGGGGCTACAGCAGACCATTCTCCTCTGGGGCCTTCTAAATTCTCAGGCCCGGCCTGCCTCCTGCTTGGGAGATGAGCGGGTGCTCTCAGCTACAGCTTCGCATCTCTGAGTCTCCTCTGCTGACATCTTTCTGCCAGATGGTTGTTCTCAAATTCTGGGGGTGCCTGGCTCTCTTCGTTCCTGCAACCTGAGCCAAGAGAACTTTGGTCCACCAACTTCCCCTTGCTCCACCCCTCTTGTGAGCGAGGTCTGGAGCCTGGGCGTCGAGGACAGACTAGGCGCGGCGACTCTCGGCACTCTGGGAAGCGGCTCCCCCTGCCCGCCTCTGGGTGCCCTCGGTGGACCGTCAGCGCGGGCTCCGAGGGTTCCGGGAGCGCCTTCTCCCGCCCCACCAGCCTGCAGCGGGAGCAGCCTTTCGTCGTTTACGGGGCGAATGCGCTTTCGGCCCCCTCTTGATTTTCCCTGCAGGCTATCCCGATGGCTTTTAATTACAATACAGTACCTCAATAAATTACGGATGAGTAAACATAATTGCAGCCTTTCGTCGTTTACGGGGCGAATGCGCTTTCGGCCCCCTCTTGATTTTCCCTGCAGGTTATCCCGATGGCTTTTAATTACAATACAGTACCTCAATAAATTACGGATGAGTAAACATAATCAGAGTGTGGATCCAATCCATTTGTAATCGTTAATACAAAAAAAGGTAAAGAAAAAAAAAAAAAACGAAGACCTAAACAAACAAAAAATGCAATGCCATTCTGCGGGGTGTTGGCCTCGAGGATTTGTTTCCTAGGGGACTCTCCCAATGCGTCTCCGCAGCCCACCCTGCCGCCTGCCGCCCGACTCCCCCCGGTGATGTGTGGGGACACCGGGGCTTGGTCCGGCCCTGCAGCTGAGGCCTGTGTCATTCCCCGGGAAGGAGCAGCCTCACACGAGCGGTGAGGACTCCCGCGAGCCTTTCGCTCTCCGGGTGCCTCCTCGGGATTCCGAAAAAAAGCGCGCTGGGGTGGCGGGAGCGGGTCCTGCAGCCTGCCTCGCCCTCCCCGGGGGCCGCAATAGGGTCCCCGACGCCGGCCTCTTCCTTTCCTGGAGCACCAAGGGACGCTGTCCCTGAGTTCCTACTTGTAGGGTACGGAGGACACTCTGCGCCCCCACAGTCTCCAAAGGCCATCCCCATTCCTGAAGCGGTGCTCCCGGCCTCGGGCCTCTAGGACGGAGGCGGGAGCGGCGCTGCCCGGGCTCAACCAGCCCCGCACCGTCAGTCCGCATTTCAGCTCTCGGTCCGAGACATTTCCGGAAAATATTGCGCATGCAAATTTATAGTATACATAAACATATTTTATCAAGCACGTCCGATGTTCTTGTTGAAACCGTTAGCAACCTAGTGGGTACTGGCACGACTGGTTGATATTAACACAAATCAGGTGAGTGATGTTCCAGAAGCGCCTGAACCCTCTGGAAAACACGCTCAATATAAGTGGAGACGTCTGACCATGTTTCCAGCTGTCCATCTGTGACCTCTCTTCCCTGTCGCTATTCCTCAGTCACCAACCGTGCTGACAAGGCAACTTCCTTCGAAGGGCGATCTCCTTCCAACTGACGGAGGTCGTCGGCTCTTGAGGAGAAGCATCCTGTCTCGGGGATGCCAGAAGCCCCTGGCGCCTTCCCAGACCCTTGCCATAAAGGACAATTCGGTCGGTGTTGGGGCCGAGAAGCACCGTCCAAACACAACCGTGTAAATGAGTGGAGAATGCGGGAGGAAGGCGAGGCGAGGAGCTGTTTCAGATGGGGGAGGTTTCGGGGAGGCCAGTCCGCTGCGGGGACAAATCGCTGTGGCATGGTCTGGAAGGGAGAAACGGCCCCTCTTCACCTAAGCACATCCGGCAGGACGCCCCATGGAAACCTCTCTGCGTGATTAAGTCTCATCCACTGCAGAGGATGGCACTAGCCCTTGGGGCGCTCAGCTTAGGCTCTTGGAGGCAGAGGACATGATAATCCCAGCGGAAGGCACCCCCGACACACACGCTCCCACTCTGCGCCCGCCACCCGAGTGCGCGCCCGCCCCCCACGCGCGTCCCGCTCGCCCTGGCTCAGACGCGGACAGATGTTCGCCGCTTAGAGCCAGTACCGTTGGGGGGACAGAGCGACCAACACGGCGCACCTCCTGGCGCTGGCGCTGGCGGGGCTCTGGGCTCCCGTCGGGGGTGCGAGCGGCCGGGGCGGGGGGAGCAGCAAGGGGGCTGGAAAGAGGAGGGGGAGTGGGTGGACTAATGATGAAAAAGTCTCCACCATCCCGGCTCCTTAATTAAATGCATGGAAAGAGCCGAGGCGAGCACATCTGGTTTCAATCTTCAGCCCTTTGATGGCATCAAATGTTCTTTTCCCAGATCAGGGCTGGAAGTTCTGGGCTAACTATGGCCGTTTGGAGCCCAGAAACCATTTACACACACTCGGACCCTTCTTTCTCTGCAGTCGAGCCTCTTGGCTATGGGGGGTGGGGGTTGCATTTCTAGCAATCAAGGGAGTGAGGGAGCACGTATGTATGAGTATTTGTGTGTGCGTGTTTAAAGAACGTAAAACGCCACAAATAAGCACTTAATATTTTACTTACCCGTAGTATAGTAATTCATTTCTAATGAGACTATTAAACTGTTACCAAATTCCAACAGGTCATGAAAAAACCGCTGAGCACCTCTCTGTCCTCTGTCAAGTTAGGGCTCAGCGGAGGGACGACTGAGCACCACCCGTAGACTTCGAGGGGGTACTTCAGCCCTTCTCTGTTCTGCCCCCGACCGCACCCGGGTGGACCCAGAGCCAAGCAAGAGCCCCCTCCATCGCTCCCTCCAGGAGTGCTCCTGTCTGCTCCCAATCTGGGCAGTGGAACCCTCCGGGTTTAGCGTCATCGCCCGAGGAAGCGACCTTGGCCGCCCCAAAGAGGTTACGAAATTGGCGGGGGTTGGGAAACGATGATGATATACCCCTAGAGTCTCATCCTCCCGCTTAATAAATATGTAAATTTCCTACTGCCCTGGCCCCAGGATTCCTAATGGCGAGATAAGCCTCGAAGCGATTCGGTGCCGTCTACATCTCCCCAACCTGCGTTTAGCTCCCGGAGAAGCGTGGGAGAACCTCCGATTATTATCGCTCTTGTTATTTTATTGCGTTATTTAATAGGCTGTCTCTACAGAGCCAGACGTAGCCTTAATGTGCTCGCTCTCTCGCTCAGCCTCTCTCAGACGCTCCCACCACTCCCCCCAAGACTATGAGAATAGCAGGAAACGTTAAAAAAAAAAAAAAGAGGGGGGCAGAGGGAGGAAAAACTTTGATTGTGATAGTTGTAGATTTCTTCCAGCAAGTTTCCCCGCAGCTGTTACCGAAACATGCAAATGAGATTTTTCAACAGGCTCTTAGACAAATCTGGAGGAGTTAATGCCGAAGCAAGAGAATCAGCCCGTTTGAAGTGACTTTGGGTTTCAGTTTGTCTTTTCTCCCGGTGATACTATTGCAAGGGAATGATAATTAGACCTTGACTTTAAAAATCCAAAGGGGCTCTCGCTCCCTCCCCTCCCCCTCGCTCCCTCCCTCTCTCCCTCTCTTGCTCCCTCCCTCTGCCTTTCTCTCTTGCTCTGATGCTGGCAAAGGGGGTTTTCTTAATCAGACTGTTTTTCGGTCCGAGGGAAAGGAGGAAGAAGGAGATTGTGATGGAGAAAGGGGGTCTGTAAAACGTCAGGCACGGCACAAAGGCTTTGCCACGTAATTACAGGCTCCTATTAAGTCGAGATCTGCCCTCCCAGGGGTCTCCAATTTTCTTGTGTTCCCTACAAAGCCTCCTCTGCATGCCAGTTTGTGCCTTTTGAAGTGCCAGAGAGCTTCTTGATCCAACTGAGAAGGAAAAAGGAGCTCAGCAAGAAGAGGGGGAGAGAGAAGGGAAAGGGGGGAACCCAGCGCCACCCTCCTTCGTACTCTTGAAGCCCTATTTTTTTTATTTTATCTTTTATTTTTTTACTCCTTACGAAAAGTAAAGTGAGAATCCTGCTCTCTAATACATCTGCAAGACATCACCCTCTCCTCCTGAAACTTTAGTCACTCCTGAGAATCCACAGGAGTGCAGAGAGGGGGGAACACGTTTTCTTGAAGATGTTTTAAAGCTGGAACAAGCCTTCTTCTGTTGATGCTTGAACTCTTGCCTGGGAATAACTTTTTTAACCCCCTTAAAAAAAAAATACCACTTTGATTCTTCTCTCCCACCCCTTCTTCTCTCCTCTTCTGTTTGCCTAACTCCCCCGCCCTACCGGCCTCCCCTTTCCTCTCTCTCCCTTACTATTATTTTTGGTGTGCGCGTGTGGACGCTTTTGAAGAGCTGGAAGGGAATTTTTTCTCCTGACTTGAACACAGGGTGACTTTTTAATTTTATTTTTTAGTGTGGATTATCTCTTTGGACTGCGCCGGATTTGGCTTCAGGAAAGCAATCAAGGCTGCCGAAGGCTCCTGGTGCAGAACGCTGTGCTCTGCAGAAGGGGGTCCCCCGCCCTCTTTTCCACTTTTTTTTGGGGGGGGGCTTCCTCTCCTTCCCTCCCTCCTTCTGTCTCTCTCTCTCTCTCTCTCTCTTTCTCTTCTCTCTCTCTCCCTCTCCACTCCCCCTCTTTCTTCCCCACTCGGCTCCTCTCCCCCCTCGCGCCCACAGCGTTTGGTGTTGATTCGAGCGGGAAGAGGGGGGTGGGTGGGATCGGAGGGGGAGACCATGACCTCCAGCTACGGGCACGTTCTGGAGCGGCAACCGGCGCTGGGCGGCCGCTTGGACAGCCCGGGCAACCTCGACACCCTGCAAGCGAAAAAGAACTTCTCCGTCAGTCACCTGCTAGACCTGGAGGAAGCCGGGGACATGGTGGCGGCACAAGCGGACGAGAGCGTAGGCGAGGCAGGCCGGAGTCTGCTGGAGTCGCCGGGACTCACCAGTGGCAGCGACACTCCGCAGCAGGACAGTGAGTGAGGGGCTCATGCCCACGGGTGTGTGTGCCTGGGACAGAGGGCGGGGGTCCTGCGGCAGAGCGGCGGGAGCGGCCGGGGGTCAGGGGGGCTGAAGGTCGGGGGACTAGGAGAGGTGGTGGCGGTCACCGGAGGAAGGGCCAGTCACAGGGAAGTGGAAATGGGTGAGAAAAGGAGCGCTCGGCTGAGGAAGTAGCTGAGGCGGACGCTGGTGAAGAGGCTCCGAGGCCCCGAGACGCAGGAGGGACTCTGGCCGCCACAGACTCTTGCTTAAGCCGACCGGGCTGCGGCTCCGTGTCGGGCGAGCGCGGCTGCCTGGTCATCCGCAGGCGGGGCGACTGGGCCAGGCTGGGAAAGAATCTCTGCGGGACATAAACTCCGGGGGATAGCCCTGTTTGAGAAAGCAGCGGGTTAAAGATGCTGAGTCGGGTTGGGAGGGCTTCTGCAGGGTGGTGTCTGCAGGCTCTGGGGAAGGCATCGCTCACGGAGAGAGGGACAGCGGCTGCTCCGGCTGCCCACCCCGCGTGGGCAAGAAAGGCCTGGGCGCGCCGGAGAGGCCGCGCTGGAACGCCCAGCCGGAGTCGCCAGAGCTGCTCTCTGCCCCCTGCTGTCGCCTCCACCTGCAGATGGGTTTGAGACCCCCGCAATCAAAAGCCCGGCTGACTCAGGCAAAGCAAAGGGACTGTCCTTTAGGGGTGAAACCAGAGATCCTGCCCCTTGTGATCCTGAACAAGAGAATTGCATCCGGGAAGAGCGGGCTTCAGAGCCGAGGCCAGTGTCAGATTCGAGGAGCTCTCCCTTTGGGCACCTAGACCTCCAGAAGAGTCCACGCACATCTCCCTGCCCCATCCTCACCGTCTGATATCGCGCCCAGTGAAAAGCTCGCCTCGAGTTATTAACCGTGCCTTAAAACATGACTGCAAGTGTATCCCGCCATCTCTGAACGTGTAACAGACTTGTTACCTGGCTCATCACAGGTGACAGAGGGCCGGATACACATAGATATTTCCTCCTTTCCTCGAGGTTGCAAGAGTTTGAATTTGGCTAGAATTCCTAAAACGAGGCTGGTCGCTTTCCATGTCATTTGCTGATTGCTATTCTGTCTTCAAATTTGGAATCTGTAGAACCAGATCGTAGGCGACACACTGTGGTTGGGAAGCCGCCGGGGACTGGGGAATGGCTCCAGCGAGACCTGGGCCTGGCGCCGCCAAGGCAGCGCGGCGCACGTGGCGACCTCTGGGGCGTGCGAGGACAAGCTCAGGGTTGCCGGAGGAGGAGTGGGGACCGTGTGTCCCAGGAGAAGGGGACGAGACTCTAGAAATGAACCCGCGTGATACTCCAGCGCATCTCAGAGTTACAAGGAGCAGAGGTCCTGTGGGGAGAGGATCCGGAAAGGAAACTGAGGCTCCGAGGCCAGCCAGGAAGAAGATCCTCTGCAGAAGGAAGATCGACAGACAGCTTGGAGCGAAGGTAGCAGAATGCACAGCGAGGGGATAGGAATGAAATGACCATCACTTCAGGCTTGGGGAAATTGCCGAGGACACACACAGACACATGCACCTATCCTTGCTTCCCAGAGAGATGGCTAAGGGACCTATTCTGCCAACAAATCGTTTGTTGCTTTTAGAAGCAGCATGTCTTCAAACTCCTTCCTCTCCTCCAGGATGAGAACAGGGGACACTGATAAGATTGGTGATAGCAAGTGCCCAGGGGACCCTAAGCCTTAGTTATTGGGTTCCCATCAATAGTTGCCTAGAAAGCTGCTGTGAGCTACTTGGAAGTTAGGCCGCGGGGCACAGTGGGCGCGGGGCCACAGTGGGCCTCCAGCCTGCGGTGCACAGAGAGGCCCAGAATGTGAATCAGGGAAGGAGGGAGTCTAGGGACAGAGGAGGGCTAGAGCAGGGCTCCCGGCCTGCAAGGGATTGAGGGGTAACACCAGGAGTCCAGCGCTTTTTGCAGCTGGCTGGGAGTCTGCTGCAGGGTGGGGAATGGTAATTTCCTTCAGAGAGAAAAGGAATACTGAAAAGACGCCTTTGACTCTTCCAGCTATACAGAAAGTCCTTATCCCTGAACTTTCTAAATTTTCCTTTTGGCCAAAAGTAGCAAAACATACTCCACTTGCACCTTCAATATTATATTCTTAATTTAGCAAAATTTTAAATTACAACCTGGGCTGAGTATAGCAAAGAAGAGCTAGGCATTTTCCAAAGTGTGGGCTTCTGGCTAACCTCCCTACTCTCCATCAGCAATTCTGTTTCCCCACCCGCAGTTGATACACACTCCACTTTCCTCTCTAGAGAACGACTTCTTTCCCCCTTTACTGATTCTCTCAGCCCAGTAAATTTCTCAAACTTCTGAGTTCAAATACCTTAAGTGTTTAAAGAAAGGGTTCCTCAACATCGTTAGCAATCCAATGGCTAACGGGGAAATGTGGAGTGTGAATAGGGTGGTGGTAGAACCAAGACAGGGAGAGAAAGGAAAGAGGAACAGGTAACAAAAACAGGCAGACCTACTCCTATGAAGACAGTGCATCCCGCTGTCATTTCTTAATCCGAACTTCGAAAAAAAAAAAAAAAAAAAAAAAAAAAAGCGCCTGCCTTCCACGTTCCCAACCTCTAAATTAGTGAAACCAGATTGTCCTAATAAGACCTTTTGTTGGAAACACATGTAGTCATAAAAAGGTAGACGGAAAGTCAATTAGACACGCGCGCGCACACGCACACACTCACAAGCTGGTGCTAAGTGTGCACGGGGCGCAGCTGGGTCCCGGGCTGCGGCGGGACGTAAATGCAGAACAGCGGCGCGGGAAATCGATTTGTCACAAAGGGAGAGGTGTAAACGCGGCGCGAAGGAACTGCCCGCCCAATCCGCCAGCCACCTTCTCTGGGGCACAGCTTCGCCAACTGCTCTTTGCCAGAGAAACGCCCAGGAGAGCGGGAACATTTTCTAGGGCACTTCCCAGTTGGAATTCGCATCAGACTATCCATTCCCCTAGTCTCAGTGTTTGCAGTAGCTGTGGCGCCAGAAATTTTCTTACGCGGCACCACCCTGAGACTCTGGAGCCCGTGCTGGCACTCTGAATCTGGGCCTCAATTATCTCTATTCGAGAGGGGAACAAAAAAATATATATCGTTTTAAGGGTAGCCTGGAAATTTTTCTCTTCAGAGAGGGAAGTGAAATCCAGGATCAAGGGAGGTCACTGAGTCCCCAAAGCTGGATGTCAAAGCCAGAGAAAAGATGGTGAATCCTGTTTACTTTATATTCAGGGGCAGGAGGCTGGGTGGCCCCCTTCTCTTAAAATTTGGAGGACTTGACAGTCCAGTAACTCCCGCCAGCTTTGGAGAGAAGCACGACTTCGAGTTTGAAGTGTCAGGGAGGTGGGCCGTAAAGTCCAAGGCTCCAGGTTGCCAATACTCGCGGGGGCTCCAACTCCAAAGACAGGATGAAAACCTTTCCAAGACTCCTGAGCTCCTCTCCCACGACTTAGACATTGCGCAGTCCCGCATTTTGGCTCCGCGACCTTTCTCTGGTGCACTCAGGTCAGAGCGCCGGGAAGCGGTGGGTCACACGGGTTCCTGTAGTTCTTTCGTCTTCCCAAGGGCGTCATCTTAGACTTTACAACACTTTATTTTTGTAATAAATCATCTCCAAACCAACAAGATGTCACACACACCCCCACGCCCTTTGCGAAAAAGGCTAATTCAGAAGCAGCGATGCCTCTCTATTCCGCTGACCCAGATCCGCTCTAATCTGAGCTTTGAAAGACGCTCCGGGCCAGCAGCCACCTCTGCGACCCTTTTCCATTAACTGACAGTTGTAGGTTTTCAACTACAAAGATCCCTAGATTACTTCGATTTTTTAATTTTAAAAGATGTGTTTCTTTTACAATTCTTCTCCTATTCCTTGTTTACCTGCTGCCTCCTGATGCCGGACACGCCACCAAAGCTGACCCCTAGTTCCTGGAGAACTTCCTCCTTGGCGAAAGCACGAGCGCCACGGGTACCCTGTTGTTGCAAAAGTCTGCGCGCGTCTGTCCCTGCATCGCGACCCCCTGCGTGTCTCCAGTTCCTGCCCACTTTCAACCGCTCTGGGAATATGCATTTATTTTTTACCCTTTAGAAGAGATGGAGTTAGCAGAAACCACATGAGAAACAACTTTTTGAAATCGGAAGTGTGTTTGTAGAGGAGATAAGGTTTGCCTTTTGCTTATTTTTTGCAGGTGGTGGAAGAGTTTTTTGGGGAAGAGTAACCCACTCCCTCACCCCACCCCCACCACAAAGAAAAAGTAAAATGTGGGGCTTAGCATCCTCTAACCAAGCCTTTGTAGGCTTAATCAACAGGACTCTCAAAGTGTTCCTCGGAGCTAGAGATAGACATTTACAAGAAATATTTGGATAAGAGGGCCAACTCTGTGTGTCCATATCGTGTCTAAATATTTACAAAACTACCTGTGGGTGCACACCATTGTAATCTGATTGGGCCCTCGTTGGTCGATTTCTGTGTTTTACCCGAGCACCATTCCACCTCTTTGGTGTCCGTTAGCTCCCTTTTCAGAATTACAAAGAGGATGCATATGTCAACCTCATTATTATGTACCCACAAGACTTTGGATTCTTATAAAATCACATAGCTTGGTAAGCAGGCGAACAAAATCCAACAATCTCAAACAGTAATAATAATATCATCAAACTTCCACAATACTCCTTTTCTCTAAATGCTGTTTCTTGTTAAATCAATAAATGCGAAGATACATTACGGAGAAAACTGGCGGAACAGTCTTCGGTGTTTCGGAGTCAGCGGGTTTGTCACATGTGGAAGTTCTTGAGTAAGATGTTTCCATCATGGTCCGAATATTAGTAGATTTTTGGCGTTGTCATTTGTCTAATTTAGTGAGACAGCCTCAAGTAAGTAGTCATACAGACAATTACGGGCTATCGATTTTAGGTTTAAAACGAAAAATTACTATAGTCCGCTGGCCCTGGAACCACTTCTTTTG